CGTGTAGTATACCCTACCCTCCGTCCCTTCCCCACAATGTTTATATGCCATTTCTGTTTCTTCGGCATAGATCCCTTATACGCGCCCTTCTCCTGTTCATCTCACTTTGTCTATTCCTCGTTTCCAGTTAATCAAAGTTAATCGTTAGATCTTCTTCCTTTTTTTTAATCCTTCTTAATTTCCTTTTCCTCTTCCTTTTCCTCTTTAAGGTCGTAGCCGAAGTTGCTCGCATCCTAAAAACGGGGATGGGAAGTTTTACTATAACTTGGATGGTTCTTTTCCATGCGTATTATTCACCTGCATTTTCCCACTTTTAGTCCCTCCCCCCTCCCTAACTGCTTGTTCTTTCTAGCCAGGGGCACAAACCTAGAAGCTTCCACTGAACGTCTTGTCTTTGACCTTCTATAACCCTTATTTCCAACACCCGGGCATTCCACCAGGACACGGCCATACAGGGAAGGCCTTAGTAGAGGAGAGGAGGAGCAACTCGAGGACCAGGTGCCACCAAAACAGTTCTTTTGTGGCGTACATCTTCTGTACGTTAATGCTCTGATCTGGATAGCCCAGGCTAGCCCAATCGCATCAGACGTTGGAAGCTAAGCGGGGTCAGTCTTGGCTAGTATTTGGATGGGTGACCTCCGAGGAATACCAGGGGCATGACGCAGAGGCCTTAAAAACAAGTCTAGCTCGCCACCTAGTGGTGCATAACGCTGAAAGAGTTAGAACTTGTGGCTGCCAGACGATCTTCGGATCACACTACCATACAATGATGATGATGATGATCTGTATGTTAATATCTGACCTTTGGTATGCTCTCAGGCAATGGAGGAGCTGGTGGATGCAGGGCTAGTGAAAGCCATCGGTGTTTCCAATTTCAATCATGAACAGATTGAGAGAATCTTGAACAAACCTGGACTGAAGTACAAGCCAGCAAACAACCAGGTAAGATGCTTACGGTGCCGTCCTAAACCAAGTTAAAGCCTTCTACACCTATTGGAGGGGTCCCCCGGTGTGGTGCCTGTGGGCGGCATGGTAGCCACCAACCACTTTCCTGGTGCCATGCCAAGTCCTCTTTTACCTTTTGTTAATGCACTTCCCAAATTAACACCCAGTGCCCTGAGAATTTGGCTACACTGACTTGCACAAGACCAGTTGGTGACTTTCCGCTCACACTAACTCAGCTTAGAGGGAACACTGGTCCCCAGTGTGGTGCCTGTGGGCAGCATGCTAGCCACCAACCACTTTCCTGGTGCACGCCAAGTGCTCTTTTACCCTTTGTTAATGCGCTTCCCAAATGAACACCCAGCGCCCTGAGAATTTGACCACACTGACTTGCACAAGATAGCTGAGATTCACAGTTCCTGTGGCAAAGCATATTGCTGGTTGCAGGTAGCAAATCCAGGTGGCCTTTCTGTGACTGGCAATGCTGAGTCACTGGAGAAGTGTGCCTTGTAGCATTAGCAGGAGGGTGTGTCTAGAGGGCTTTTTTGGACCAAAACATCTTTTCCAGCTTATGGCAAACAAATTCTGCTGAGGCCAGGGGAGTTTGTGCTAGGGGAAAACAGTGTTCTTCAATGGGAGACTTGGACTTTTCCACATTCTCAATTTCCTCCACAAAAGTTCCTATTGCTTGGGGGGGGGGGTGTTCAGCACGTGTTTTGCTCCCTCTAGTGGTCAATTTGGTATTACAAAGGTGTGTGTCCAGCATAAACACCAGCAGTTTAAATCTGCAGGGAAATATGCCAAACATAAAGAGATGTGGCACCTTTAAGACCAACAAAGTTTAATTCTGGGTATAAGCTTTTGTGTGCATGCACACTTCTTCAGAGTTGTATCTGAAGAAGTGTGTATGCACATGGATGCTTATATCCAGAATTAAACTTAGTTGGTCTTAAAGGTGCCACTGGACTCAAACTTTGTTCTCTGTTGTCTCAGACCAACACGGCTACCCATTTGAATGTATAAAGAGATGTAACATTGAATGGACCACTAGAGGGAGCAAAACACATGCAAAACACAAAAAAAACCCTGCAGAAAAAGGAACTCTCAAAGCAAGTAAAATGAAAATGTGGGAAATCCGCTAGACCCTTATGAGGAGGTTCATCTCTCCAGCTTTATTTTGCACACATATGGTTCCTTTTACTGCTGCTGCCACCAGAATAGGAATTAGATTTGTCTGCATAGTCTTCTGGAATCTAGACTGTCTTTTTGTTGTTGTTGTTTCTTAAAGGATTCATCTTCAGATTAAGGAACCCAGGCGTTTCCTAGGCAGTCATTCACAATTATCCTGGGCGTAGGGGGAAGCCTTGGTGGAAATGTTGCCTGTTAGAGTAATTCACATCCAGACAGGAATCTCCACATCTTCCCTTTATACTTTGGTAAGTGTGGGCTGTGTTAGGCCCACAGACCACCATAACACCAATTTTGTAAAGGGAAAACATTACTCATTTTTGCAGTCATTCTTTACAAAAAAAAAAAAAGCATAAAAACAGCTGAGCACGAAACTGTGTAAGTTATTGAACAAAACATGTCTTACAAAGCTTCCTGGGAAAAGGATCTTCAAAGGGAAATAACACCGCAACAATGGCTATCTATTTGGGGATCCAAAGCAAATAATTCAAGGATTTTTAATATTAGGCTGCAATTTTTCAAAATGTGCACAAGATGGTACCTTTCCCCAGTCCGACTAAAACATATGCACCCGAGATATAATTTGATATGCTGGAAAGGATGTGGAGAAAATAGTGATTTGTATCATTGCTGGTGGTCCTGCTCCAAGATACAATCTTTCTGGGTACAGATACTGGAGGAAACCAATAAAATAACAGGCCAGACCATCCCGCTAGAGCCGGCTATCATATTATTAAACTCAACAATCACAAAAGATAATCAAGAAGTGTATATATCAGACCTCACTTCTACATTATTGGCTACGGCAAGACTGACTATAGCGGCCTCATGGAAATCTCCCAAACCTCCTACTATTCAGAACTGGCGAAATAAATGTTGGGATCATTTTATAATGGACAAGATTGCAGATAGATATGAAGGGCAAGTGAGTAGTCATATAGGATCTTATACCAAATTTGTGCGCCCTTTGATCACGTATTTCGTGGAAAATGATCTACTACCCTCAAACTGTAACTATCTGGAATGGATACATTTTTGATTTACAGGTGTTTAGACTGAGCTCTTATCACATAAGTTTTAGAAGTGAAAAGTAGATTAGACTGAGTACAAGGCTAGTTACGTGCAATATACAGATACTGAGTTGAAATTGATTGAAAACACAATGTAATATATATTTCAGTATGCATGTTTGTATTGTTTTAATTAAACAAAACTTTGAAGAGGAAAAAAACAACTCTGAAAATGTATATACATTTCCCAAATAAATTTTAAAGCCACCTAAGTTATTGAACAAAGGGGAAAGAAAAGAAGTGGTAAGAGTCCTCTCTCCCTAACCTTTATGCTCTGTGATGAAGTAGACAAAATCTTTAATTGACCAGATTTAATTACTTCATTTATACCTGTTGCAGAAGAAAAGAAAAAAAGAATTTACCTGGTCACCAGGCTTCCCACCTGGTGTACCAGCTTCACTTAGGTTCACTGGGCTGGATGGGATTTTGGTAGGACACCAAGTCTTGGTAGGAAAGAGAAGAAGACACAAGCCTCCAGTACAATCTATTACCATAATATAAAAAAGCTCAGAGCATTCACCAAAAAACAGCAATGTACACAAGAAAGAGAGCCAGTTGGTCACCAGGCTTCCCACCTGGTGTACCAGCTTCACTTAGGTTCACTGGGCTGGATGGGATTTTGGTAGGACACCAAGTCTTGGTAGGAAAGAGAAGAAGACACAAGCCTCCAGTACAATCTATTACCATAATATAAAAAAGCTCAGAGCATTCACCAAAAAAACAGCAATGTACACAAGAAAGAGACATCTCTTGACCACCATCGGAAGACCCCAAAAGGGCGTTCAGGAGCTGGTGCTGAACAGACCCTTGACAATAATTTATTCCCTTTTGCAAGCTAATAAAAGACATACATCAGATGTCCCATGGGCGTGTCATGAGCACAACCAGTAGCCAGAGCCTTCCCCTTGATGGCACCATAAACCTTTCCTTCCAACAGGCTGTCAGGTCCAAGCCTCTGGCCAGAGCAGGTGAGGTATAGACAAAAATCTCTAGATGTTCAACGTTGGGGCTTAGTGCATTTTGGCTAAAGGAATGTGAGGTACGTGTGGGAAACAGTTCGATCACAGCCAGGCACCGTAGGGGCTTAGTGCAGCAGGCATTGGACATACTGCAGTGCTACATGGGAAGAAACCAAAGTCTGGTTTTGCTACATCTAATCAATATACCTTATACATAAATATACATAAATGGCCAAGCCTCCCTTAATCCAGAATTCTGCCACAATACCACAGCTCCCTCCCCAGAGGGGACTCAAGGTGGCTTCCATAGTCCTCCTCCATTTTATCCTCACAACAATCCCTGTGAGATAGATTAGGCTGAGAGAGTGTGACTGGCCCAAGGTCACCCAGATTTCCAGTCTTGGTCCTATTTTTTTTTTTAGTCCTCGAGTCTCCTCTCTTCTTGAAGAAGAAGAAGAGTTGGTTTTTATACCCAACTTTTCTGTCGTGAGGCGTCTCAAAGCAGCTTACAGTCACCTTTCCCTTCCTATCCTCACAACAGGCACCTTGTGAGGCAGGTGGGGCTGAGAGAGCTCTGAGAGAACTGTGACTGGCCCAAGGTTACCACCTAGCAGGCTTCATATGGAGGAGGAGTGGGGACCCAAACGCGGTTCTCCAGATTAGAGTCTGCCGCTCTTAACCGCTGCAATATGCTGTTCAAGCTTTCCCATTCCAAAAACCAGCGTTCTCTTATCAATTCTTAAATTCTTCCCTTTCAAAGAAAAGACAGAGTTGTTCTATTAAATGCCATCAGATTCCCCCCCCAGCAGGTCCCAGTGCCACAGGAAACGTCCTTTTGTTCTCTTGGCTGCCCCATATTAACATACAAATCAGCATCCTGGCAGGCTGAAGGCTAAATTTAAGAAAACAAAAACACCTTGATCTACAACCTTTTGTATCCTTGTGAAGGTAGATTTCTGTTGACCTCTGAGTCAATTAAATATTTACCTGGCAAAGTTACATATTTTTTACACTTGTGCCTATAAATTTCAATTCTCTACATGTGCAGCAAGGCTTAAGAAATCTCCAAGGTAGCCTGTGATCAAAATTTTTGAGCCTTCCTCTGTCCCCATAGAAACTGCTTTTTTGCCCCAAGCATTTCTGCCATGCTCTTATCAAGGAGATTATATTTTGCGTTGTACCTCTCCATCCTTCTTTTCAACATCCCTCCCACCTTCTGACTGGGACTCATGGATCTCCATTCTTGCTTGTATCTGATGAAGGGAGCCTTGACTCGGAAAAGTTTATACCCCGAAAATTGTCGTTTACCCATTTATAGAAATCTGCCCATCGTTCTTTGAACACCATATCATCTTTCCTTTGCAAAATTACTGTTAGTTTGATTCCCTTCTTTTCAACATCCCTCCCACCTTCTGTCTGGGACTCATGGATCTCCATTCTTACTTGTATCTGATGAAGGGAGCGTTGACTTGGAAAAGTTTATACCCCACAAAT